TGCTCATCTCATCTTCCGATTCACTTTCAGATTCTTCCTCATCTTCTCGAGCTTTTAGAGCAATTCCTCTCTCTCGCCTTACAGTCTCAGCGTCTTGCTCTTCTTGAAATCCTAATTCATATGTCATGAGTGAACCGGTCAGGTCTTCAAGAGTCAAGGTGGATAGGTCCTTTGCTTCCTCAATAGTCATGGTCTTAGGCTTCCATACCGAGGGCAAGCTTCTCAAGATTTTTCTCATTTGATCTTCCACAGTAATTTCCTTTCCAAGGGCTGAAAGCTCATTGATGATATTAGTAAAACGTGTAATCATATCCTTAATTGACTCTCCAGGCTTCATTATGAATAATTCGTAATAACGCATAAATATGTCAATTTTAGATTTTTTTTACACGTGAGGTACCTTCATGAGTAACTTCGAGCAAATCCCACATTTGCTTTGCAGTCTTACATTCTAGAACACGGTTGTGTTCAGCAGGACCAAGACCACAAATTAAGTATTTAAGAGCTTGGGCATTATGCTCGAGATTTTGATAATCATCGGTAGTAAATTCAGCTTTAGGTTTAGGAACAACCTTACCTTCGCCAGTTAGCTTTGTGATGACATTGTCGCCACCTTCTATCACATTCCATACCTGATAATTATCGGCTTTGATAAAGTTCTCCATCCAACTCTTCCAGAACTGATAGTATTTGCCATTGAACAATGGTGGTCGTACAGTCGAGTACCCATATTCCAATCGGTCAACCGTATTCATTTTCCCGGATCTCTTCCCAAGGTATTAACCTCTATGTAGTGAAGACCGGCTCTGATACCAATTGATGAAACGGTTAGCAACACAAGAGGGGGGGGGGGGTGAATTGTGTGTGTGTAGAACCGTGGCAGTTTTTCGCCAAGTTCTAGTGTGGGGTAAAGGGAATTGCGAAATAGTAAAGTGCACAAGGATTTAACGAGGAAAAATCCCTTGGCTCAAAGGGATTAAAAAACCTTGACCTCCCTCAGAGGAATTTTAAGCAACTTCACTAAAAAACCTTTGAATGATTACAAGGGAAACTCTCCTAGGAAGAGTTATGTTTCTCTACCTTGCGAGTAGAGAGCCTCTCAGCTTTACAACAAAGCTCTCACAACACACACACCAACCCGAGGATGCTACACTTAGCCAATCCTCAAAACCCCATTACAATATGAACATGGGAAAGTAGAAACTATATCTAGAACTCCGGGTGAGCAGTTTCAGGTGCCTTGAACTTCAGTATTCCTTTTACGAATATCTCTCTCAATGTCTATCTCGGTCAAGCACAACTATTTCTTTTTGTCTGCTTCGTTTATATAGGCTGTCTTGATATGTCCGTTGATGCATCTCTTTCCGTGAATAGTCTTGTAGCTAATCATGGGATTTGCCTTGATATTATTTGAAAAACCTTCCTTCTATAATGATCTTCTTTATTCGAACTCAATGCAAAGGGCAATCAGATTCACAAGATATCATGCTAATATATAGAAGGATGTACGCACCATGACAATAATATATTCAAATCATGTGCCAACATATTATTTATTTTTAGAAAGCCAAGATACTAAAAATATTTATTTAATACATTAAGTGGACAAAGCTTTTCAATCTCGTGTGGCAAGCTCAAAAGTGATACGGTCAATTACCATAAAGGAAGCAAAGTATTTTAAAGATACTTTCCATAACCTATATATGTCAATTAATTCAATTGGATGTCTAATCGTGTATGGAAATATATTTAAATAAAAGCTATGCAATTATGCAGCAACTACTCATACGACAATAAGATATTCATGCAATCAATTAATTATAAGCAAGCCAAAGTTACTTTATAAAAAAGTACAATTACTTTTTATAAAGTTAAAAGCACAATTACGTATACATATATAATGGTCATGCAAAAAGGCACTCATATTACTTTCCATAAAGTAATGAGCTATACTTTCCATAAAGTAATATACCACTCAAATAAGCACTCATATTAAGCAAAATACGTATATATTATTTGGTCATGCAAGAAAGGTATTTTCGCTTAAAATAATATTCTTGACAAAGTAAAAGCACTCATATAAGGAAAGCACATTAGTTGATTAACCAAGTAGGTGTAATCAATATTAATTCAAACCATATCACGGAACTAGAAATGGTTCAGTATTAGTTCCACCTGCATGTTTAGTTAACAACACAATAATAAGGTCCATTTGGACCTGAAGATAGTTCTAGCTGTTCGCCGTTCCACCTGCATGGTAAGTTATCAATCAAAACATATATGTCCGTTGTAGGATAGTTTCGGGTTCAGGTTTACGGCTTGTTCCAAAGCACGGCTTATCTTCCTTTCCTGCAATCACTTATAGACCAAAAGTAACACTAGTCGTTTGTCATCAACAAAACAATATGTTCCAACACTTTTGATTAGTATATACTAGTGTAACACCCGGGGCATGACCTGGTAATATCATTTTAATATAAATTAAAGTGATAAATCTCAATAGAGACTATAATGAATTATTTATGGAACTCTTTAATAGCATTTTTTATGCTGAATAAAGGAATATGTTTACTAATATTTTGTTGAGAAATAGGATTTTAAATAATTGATTTGTATCTGATTTATTATTATTTTGATTTTAGACTTATTATTACTATTATTATTGTTGATATTATTATTATTATTTTATTTATTATTGTTATTATTTTGTGTTAATGAACACATTAGTTGAAAAAGTTCATAGTATGCAAATAAAGGTGGAGGAGATAATACTATTGTGATTGAAATCCGAGAATGAGAAAAGGATTTTGAATCCGAGAATGAGAAAAGGATTTTGAGTAATACTATTGTGTAATAATCAAAATAAATAAGATTGATAAAATAAATAAGGTTGATGTTATTACTTTGCTGACTCAATTGGTCGATGTTACTGTAAAATACTATATTAGCTATTTTTGGTGTAATTCTTTCTTAATTTTATTAATAAAATACAGCATATAGTTTAAATATAAGTTTCTCATAATTCAACAACCTCAGTCAGCATTTCATACAGCATTTCATAATTACGGGAATATTTTATGTTGCTGTGGTTGTTTGTTTTCGTTGTATTTTAGGAAGGTATGCCTTCCTAGGAGGGGTTTCGGCCTAGTCCTCCTCTCCATCTGTTTCCGTTTTTTTGTTTATTAATAAAATTTGGTAAATGTTCCCCAGCATTTACCTCATTGATATTGGTGGTTTGCCTTCCGGGTTTTAAAAAAAGGAAAAAATAATTAAAATACCCCAAACTTTGAAAGGGTGTGACATAAACACCCTAAACTTGCATATGTTATTTAAATACCCCAAACTTATTATAAGACATTATTTTAACATCATACGGTCATGTATTATTTATTTCTAAAATATGAATTTACGGTGTTAATTTCATAATTTAAATAGAAAATTGAAACTGTTGCAATTATATAGAGTGGGGCTTAATACTATTTATTTTCCAATACAATTTTAGAATGCTAATTGTATCTTCATGAATACTAAAATATTTTAAATTATGAAATTAACACAAAAAATTAACATTTTTGAAAGAAATAATACACGATCATGGTGCTAAATAACTTTTTATATAAAATTTGGTGTATTTAAGTTACATATGCAAGTGTGGGATGATTACCTCACACTCTTTCAAAGTTTGGAGTATTTAAATTATTTTTCCCATGTTTATATGATAAAAATTTATATTAATAAATTAAACTTCTCCTAAATTTGCAATGTTTATTCTCCCCTGCATCGCTAGACTAGTACTACCCAATTACAAGTCATATTGGAAGTAACATTTGCCACATGTCACTCCATTAAAATTTTATAACCGCGTGTCATTTAGAGGTGAATTACACATAGAATTTTTTTTAGAAAAAGGACGATTTTTAATAAAACATTTTTTTAATAAAAATAAATAGTACGTACAATGCAAGAAGATAAATAACTAAAAAGTAAAAACAAAAAATGTATATAAAAGGGAACAAAATGTAAAAGACAAAAACTAGATCCAAGAGAAATCTCTGGACTAAGATCTAGTCCTCATGTTGTGGCGTCTTTTGTTTTTTTTGGAATTTCCTGTAAATTTTGAGTTATGTGTTTAGGTTATCTGTTGATAGACAGTTTTCATTTGGTGACCAACTTAGATTTTTGACAAATCATTCTGTTGAATTTGGAATTCCTGATTTCTTCTTGATTTGAAGTAGGAGGATGACAATCACTTCCTATTGCATGTCCTAAAAAATTATCTGAGGTCATGTTTGGCACACAAAAGCCTCTGCCTTCTAGCTTCTCTTTTCTTTAAAAAGACCTTAAAAACTCTAGTTGTATGTTTGACATGACATTTTTTAAGAGATTTTCAAAAATTAAAAGATCTTTTTTGAGATGCTACCGGGTGTAGCATCTGAGAAAAGCTCGTGACTTTTAGTATTAATTAGTCCTAACAGCTTGTATACCAAACCGAACTAAATCAAACAGTCAGCTTTTTATCAAACAGCTATCACATTTTCTTTTTAAGATCTTTTCAGTCACTAAAAGCTAACAGTTACTAAAAAGCTCACAAAAGTATCTTTTCAGCTAGTTGTGCCAAACATGCCCTGAGAAAAAAAGAGTCATCACATTAAGCCTGTAGTACACCACTCGTATAGTAGTATATTCATTGCCTGAGTTATCTTCCGGTCAGGTATACCTGACCGGAGCCGCCGTCCGGCCTCCTCCTTTTGGGGGTCTTCCCGGTGGTATTTTTTGCTCAAATTTTTTGTGTATGTTCCTCATCAAGTCTAGTTCATCCATACCAAATTTCAGCAAAAAATTCAATCTGGAAGATCGTCAAATGATTTTTGCAAGTTAACTGGTCCGGAATATTTGTGTTCATTGCCTTATTAATTATCTCTCTATCAAATTAAATGTCCTTTCCCGTATCATCATATTCCTAGAAATTAAGAACAATTATTCCCCGAACTTGTCGTTGACCTCGGACACAACGATAACATTCCAAAAGCAATCTATTTATTGATAAACAAATATGGTTTACAATGATGCTGATTTTAAAAAATATTCGTTTATTTAATCTTTAATTGGATCTCTAGTTCTTTCATGCATGCAGTATACTCCGTATAATAAGATGATGCTTTGTATGTATAGAACGTATCCACTTCATATTCATGTGAATCTTGCTGCTGCTGCTGAGCCGCGGCAGATGGCTGCTATGTAGAGCAGTTGAGTAACGGTGAGGATGATCAGGAAAGCTTCCATTGTCCTCTGCATGTGTATGTTTTTTCAAAAGCGCTTATATATCAGTAATGCCAGGTAGCCAATATGCCCCCCACCACACACACATATATATAGAATAAAGATCAAATGAGAACATTACTTAGCGTGAGAACGTGAGAACATCACTTTTTCTCGAACGTGTTGCACAATGAAGCTTGTATGTTGCACGTTTTCACATTTTCACAGTATTTACCAAAATGCCTCCGTGTTTATTTAATATAGACTTAATTCGAGTAAATTGAAAATGTGCAACAGAATAGCTCCATTATGCACCATATTGATTTAAATGTGAGTGTTCTCACGTTCTCACGTTAAGCATCGTTCTCACTGGAATCGCACCCTATATACACACACACACACACATGGAGAAGTGCTCAGGTCCAGCACTCCCCCGTCTGAACGCCGTCCAAACACCACCGTTTGAGGCGGTTTTCGGTGAAATTTTTTGATGAACTTTTTTGAGCATGTTCCTTATCAAGTCTAGTTTATCCACACCAAATTTCAGCTCAAAATTCGATCGGGAAGCCAGTCAAATAAATTCTTGAAACACATGGTGCATTCTGCGCATTCGAGAGAGATATTACTGTCTGGATTCCTGGACCGGAATGCTGCCCGGATGGCGGCGTTTCAGCCTCTTATGGTCGAATTTTTTGATGACATTTTTATGGCATGTTCTTCATCAAGTCTAGTTTGTCCGAAAAAATCAGCTAAAAATTCAATCGGAGAGGCCGTCAAATATTTTTGACAGATAACTACGTTTTATATGTATATTTTGGGCGGAGTTATCATCCAAAAATCATTTGACGGCGTTCCCGATTGAATTTTTAGCTGAAATTTTTTGTGGATAAACTAGACTTGATGAAGAACATGCCATAAAAATTTCATCAAACAATTCCACCGGGAAGGACCCCAAACACCGTCGTCCGAAGGGCGATTCCGGTCAGGAAGGCATGATCGGAAGATTACTCTATATATTACTCTATACTAAATAGTACTCCCTCCGTCTTGTTTTAGTGAGTCAAAATTGACTTTTCAAGTCAACAATGATGTCTAACTGTGACTGATTATATATTTATATATATAAAGTATTGATTATATAGAAATGATATGAAAATATTCTTTGTTAAAAATACTATCATAAAAATATAAAATTATTAAATTCTGCACAAATATATTAATTAAAATAATTGATCAAATAGATTGAAAATGTCAAAGATGACTAATTAAAATGGGAAAGAGGTAGTTTTTTTGCACGTACCCTTCTTACATTATGTGGAAATAAATTCACATGGATGGGTCCCATTAATAACTCACCTCGGACCCATCATACGGATCCGGCAAATAAAATTAAAAAATATCCCTATATAGGATTAAAGGAAAGAAAAAGTTCATAAACATGTTAGGACTACTATTATATATTTCTAAAAATGATTCATACACTCCTATATTTAGAGAAATTTTAATCTCACATATTTTTTTAATAGGCCTAAATAAATTCTATTTGAGGAAGAAAACATATTTAGTCCTATTTTGAGCGTTGTCTATGTATTGATCCTATATTGAGCAATTTATTATCAAGGACCAAAAAATATCCAAAGTGTATTTATTTATTAATTCCCCAAATAGGACTTATTTAGTTTTATTAAAAGAATAAGTTGAGTAAAAGTTCTCCAAATAGGAGTGAATAAATCTATTTTGGGAATAAACAATGATAGTTCTATTTATGAAATTTATCTTTGTTTTAATTCTATTTGGAAATTTTCTCAATAAAATTTACTTCCAGATTCGGTAAGCATATAAAGAAGCATGCCTCATGTAGTTTCGGGGACATATGCTAACTTAGAGCTCGTTTGTTAACACTGAAATTGACTGAATTGGCTTATTCTGCGAAAGTTTATGAAGTTCTGGCTGAAGTGGTTGTATTGGCTGATTCTGGTGATTTATGAAAAATTTATATTTAAAATATTTTTTATTAGTAAATAAAATAAAAAATCATATGAAAAAATACATAAAATGATCATCTACAGTAACATCAGTCAATACAGCCAGAAAAGTAACTTTAACTTTACTTTTTCTTATTATTACACGGTTCAGCATGTGAAATCAAAGTTACGTGTTTGGTGAAAAAACTGGCCTATAATCCTCATATGCCGAAAAAAGGGTTACCAAATGGGCTCTTATTCTTAATTATCGGCAGCAGCTTGGTAGTATGAATTTTATAAATATAGATATGTAGATATTTAGAGTCAAAGATCAACTTAGAAGACCGTGAAAAGTCAAAATGGGAAGATCTTTGTGTTACGGAGGTAGTAGTATATATGAGTAACTTATTAAAACTCACCAGATTGGCGTTCCTGTTTTGGAGTTCAATCTCCTTCCAGGCAAATCTGCCAAATGTGATACATTATTGTCATATGGTTGACTCCATGGGAGTAATAGAGAAGCTAGAAAGGTTGATGAATAATGGAAAATACGTACGTACCCCATGGCAAGGGCAGTAAGAGTCCAGGCAATCGCTGCTGCTGAAGTAGCAGCACAAGGCATATGATCAGTGTCACGGTTCCAGTGGTGAATGCCGACTATGATGGATGCAACTCCGAACACGCCCGCAATCAGGGAGAACACAACAAAGAATCCGGTAGCGGCGTTCCCCATCGGAAAACTTATCGGAGAGAATTGTGGGGGTAGATCGAATCCCGGGCCTGCTAACATGCATTTTACGTACTCATCAATATAATATAGATAGATGCACTATCGATCTATGTGTGTTCTAAAATTAAAGAGCTAGTCGTTGATAAAGTGAGATGGATTCAACTGTCACGTACGTACCGATAAAGAAGCCTTCAAGTATAGCTTTGTTGGTAGCCCAGGCTGCAATGGCCAAGACGATAACATACATACAGAAATTGAGCGGCAAGAGCATTGACGCCACAGCTTTATTATTAGTCATTGTGGATATATTTGTGTGTAAAAGGCGCTCTTGTCTATTTATAGCCCTAGCCACGTGATTGACAGGTTCGTTTTGGGTTCTTTTCTTGGTGCACCTAGCCGGCCAGCTAGCTTGCTTGCTTCCTCGTCGCATGCAATAGATTCTTGCCTGACGAATGATATGGCCGCCCTGTCCTTATTAGCTCTCACATTCTTTAATTATATAACTTTTTCTAGTTTACTTCTATTTTCATTGCTCAATGCAAATGGAAACATCACCCATTAGCTGCTCCATTCTCAACCAACTTAATTATAAACTACTACTCCATGAACATTTCGAAAATTAGCAACAGCGCGCTAATAATCACATTTAAATGGTCATTTGGATTATCTATGGTTCAAGTATATATCATTTTGTTCCAATCCAAGTACAAATAGCTGTCCTAGATCAACCAGAGGATAGTTAATTAAGTTCAAATATTATATTTATACACTCAAATTGGATGCAGCCAATTGGAAATTATTTACTCTACAAGAAGAATACCTACTACATGCCGGCATTCTAGGTTGTCCCAATTCAGCTGCTACACACACTTTAAGTTTTGTGATTTTTCTATTCTTTTTTTGCGCCAATCTTAGTTAAGGAATGTTTGTCCTTTTTTTTAAATGTGAATTTTGAGAAGCTCCTTAATAGATGAAAAAAGGTATAGTGTTTAGAAAAAAAATATTTTTGATAAAGTAAAAATTTGTAGTGTTTAATAAAAAATTGTTTTATGTACAATGGAAAGAGTTAAAACAGTTTAAAGTGTCTGTCCACTTGCTTTGACATTTTAGATTTAGAACGCTTTATTTAAAAAGAAAATGTCACTTGAAAACAATTATTTCAGCTTTTTTAAGTCAAAAACCGAAAACCACTTTTTCAATTTTTTGCAAAACACTGCTTTAGTGTATTCTTCTTATAATTTAGAGTATGCGCGTATTTTATAAACTCATATTGTATTAACAAAAGCGCCAAGTACACTCTACACAATACCAAAAAGCAAACACTAACCCTCAAATCATACTCTCCATCTCTTAAAACTTTGTCAACTTTCCGTTTTTGGTTGTCTCAATAACTTTGCATATTTCCTTTTTTAGTAAAAAAATTGTGGTTCCTGTTAATTCTCTCTCCTCCGCACAAACCTCTATCACACAGTTTTTACTTTATTAATCTCCGTGCCGGCTAAACTTGGCAAAGTTTTATGGGACGGAGGTAGAATTTTGATTATGGGTGCTTTGCCGGGTTGTGGTGATAATTGCATGATTAACGTTTTAATTTTAGATTTCACTTAACGTAAGTGACAATTTCATTTAGTAATTACACAGAGTATTATATATGTCACTATTTTCTTACCTCAGGAAAATGTGGCTGAGTTATCCTTAAATGAAGGTTGAGAAGAGAAAAACGAGTTTTTTTCCGTATTAATGCTAATTAATTAAGTATTTACGAAAATAGGTTGGGTTAAAAGTATTTGCGGATATACTGCTAGGCTTAACCCTGGTCGGGGTAAGTCGCCCAACGATTTGGCGACTTACCCATAAATTATAGCACCAGATTATGCTCAAGAACCCAAAGTTTTAAAAAAAAAGAAAGAAAAGAGGGGCAACATTGTCTTTTGAGACCCGCTGAATTTTACGACTATTATGTCTGCAGGTCGCCCGCGCAGGGGGGTGCGAATTTTCGATTTTGAACTAGAAGCCGGAATTCTTGTGTGCGTGAGAGCTCCCCTCTTCTCATTCATCTTTTAATACTAAGTGAAGAGTACAGTGGTTCATATTTATAGGCTCAAAAGTTTCCAAGGAGTTTAGGTGTGGGAAAGTTTAAAAGATTCTTTTTTCTCCTATACTTGAGAAGAGCATTTTTTCCATCTACCTTCTTTAAGAGCTAGTCTTTTAGTCACTTCAAACTTCAAAGTTCAAAACTCCAACACCAAAGGTCAACACTACAATCAAAGATTCCAAGAGTCAACCTTGAGATTTAAAAAAACGATAGTTATTGGTGGAAGATCCCTAACATTGAGATTATTCTAAAATGATCGATAGTTGAGAATTGAGATTATTAATTATGAGCGGACCGCTAATAGTTGAAATTATTACTATCATTTTTTTCTCAAATAAAAGAGTGATTGGTCTGGTGGGGCCAAATTACCAACATACATTTTTTTAGCAACCAACATACGTTGTTATTAATGATGTTTAGACAAAGATATAAAATCATATTGGGTGCATCCTAAACGTATTGCGAGTGTTGTTCTGGTGGTTGGCCGTTCTAAAGCGAGTGTTTTTGAGCCACTTCAAACGTATTGCGAGTGTTGCGAGTAAAGCATTCGTCAGCGTTTCGCGAGTCCCGGCGCGGCTTTCAGCAATTCAGCTTCACTCTAAAGAATGTTTTAGAACGGCCGACCACCAGAACAACACTCGCAATATGTTTAGGATGCACGCAATATCATTTTATATCTTTGTCTAAACATCATTAATAACAACATATGTTGGTTGCTAAAAAACGTATGTTGTTAATTTGGCCCCACCAGACCAATCACTAGCTCTTTTATTTGAGAAAAAATTGATATTAATAATACCAGCTATAGGCGGTCCGCTCATAATTTTAGAATACGTGAGGGACCAATAACTATCGATTTTTTTTTAATCTCAAGGTTGACTCTTGGAAGCTTTGATTGTAGTGTTGACCTTTGGTGTTGGAGTTTTGGACTTTGAAGTTTGAAGTGGCTCAAAAACTAGCTCTTAAAGAAGATAGATGGAAAAAATGCTCTTCTCAAGTATAGGAGAAAAAGGAATCTTTTAAACTTTCCCACACCTAAACTCCTTGGGAACTTTTGAGCCTATAAATATGAATCACTCTTCACTTAGTATTAAAAGGTGAATGAGAAGAGGGGGGCTCTTGTGCACACAAAAATTTTGGCTTCTAGTTCAGAATCGAAAATTCGCAGCCCCCCTGCGCCGGGCGACCTGCGGACACGATAGTCGTAAAATTCAGCGGGTCTCAAAAGACAATTTTGCCCCTCTTTTTTTTTTAAAAAAAAAACTTTCTTTCTCGATACTGGACTGGTCTGGTGGCCGGGTTCTTGAGCTTAACCTGGTGCTATAATTTATGGGTAAGTCACCAAACCGATGGGCGACTTACCCCGACCAGGGTTAAGCCCAGCAGTATATCTGTAAATACTTTTAACTCAACCCTATTTTCGTAAATACTTAATTAATTAGCATTAATACAGGGAAAAAACTCGAGAAAAACAGGGAGTAGTGGAGATGATGAGTACAAAAGTATGTATCAATTAAGAGGTAGAAGACGAATATAAACTCAAAATGCCATTAGTTGTAGCATATAGAAGTACTCAGTATTATGTTAGAGTCCCACACCGGAAATATTTGAATCAACGAAGTGCTATATTAAGACATGTGCTACTCCTCCTATCAGGTTGACCTTTTAGGATGGAACCTCATGTCTTAACATATTATTTACCATGAAAGTACAATTTGTGCCGTTGCTGCACACAAATTAAAATTTGAAATTGATGTGCGACTTTTTTTGGGGGGTCTCATGATTAGTGGATCGTCATGTATGTATTTCCCGCCATTATTAAAGAGTCAAATGCAATCACTCCCACATGCTTAGTTGTTAGTTTGTCGCATGGAAAACTAGATATAACTCAGACACTCTTCGGTAAAATCACGTCTCCTAGCATTTATCTGTATACCAAGATTATTATTGGATATGCCGAAAACGGGAGACTAAAGGATGCATTGGACATGTTTGACAAAATTTCTATCAAAGACACAGTCATATGGAATTCTTAATCAAAGGGTGCATAGTTACGGCATACAATGTGGGAATGTTGAGAAGGGCATGAAGTTGTTGGATGTCATGCCCAAGAAAAATGTTGTTACTTACACCACACTGTTTAATGGGTTGTTGGAGTTTGGGATGGTGAAAGGTGAAGGTGAAGGTGTGTTTTCTGATATGCCATTGAGGGATGTAGCAGCCTGCAATGCAATGATTTATGAGTATTTTGAGAATGAAAGAATTGAAGGCACATTGAGGCTGTACAAGATTATGCCACATAGGAGCGTGATATCTTAGACCTAGGTGAATGACGGTTTTGATCATCACGGAAGGAGCAATGAGGCCTTGGCGATTTTTATGAAGATGTTTGGTTTTGAAACAAAACCCAACTCAAATACATTTGCATCAACTTTTACTGCTTCTGCAAACGATAAGGACATATTATAGATAGGTAAAGTCATGTGAGCTCCACAAAATCCGGCTTGCTTTTTGAAGCATACGTTATTGCTTCGCCAATCAAACTTTACTTTACTTGCATGAAAAAAGGTGATTCTTGCATGGTATTTGAAAAAAAAATGAATGTGATGGTATGGACATCTGTTCTTACGAGCTATAATTTGAAAGTAAGCACACCCATGCATTAATGATTTTCACAAATATGGTCTTGTACGGTGTAATCCCCAACCAGCCTTCGTCCACCTGTAGTGCATTGAACTCAACCTGTGAAATAGAGACGGTTGACTTTAGGAAGGATGTGGGTAACTCCATAGTGGTTTTGCAATCTAAATGTGGACTTATTAGTGACATAGTGCCATGTTTAATTTCTTAAAGAATCGTCTAGTGGAACACAACCATAGTTGGATGTGCACAACATGGGCTTAGAAAAGGGACACTTGAATTATCTTCCCAAATGATCAGGAGGGATGTTATTATATATTTATGGCATCACCTTCACTACTTTACTTATTTCCTCTAACCATTCTGGCATCTTAAGGGAAGGAGGAATGTTATTCAACTATCTTTCCATGTCGATGCACATTAGTGTTGAGCATTATCCAACATGGTTGATTTCTTATGTTGTGGTGGGAGACTAGATGAAGCGAAGTGTTTGTTGAAAAGGATGACTCTGCTTAGTAGTTGCACCAAACATTTTAACATAAAATTAGCATAAAGAAATGCAGAGAACATATTTGATCCTTATCCAAACTGAAGTGCAAGTTATATCATGTTGTCCACTATGTATGATGCTATCAGTAGGTGAAATGATGTTGAAAGGATTAGAGTGTGACTGAAAATGAGGGGGGACACAATGAAACAACCGGGATTTAGTTGTGTAAACCTAAAGGCTAATTTGGTACTTTAGAAATGATAGGAGATGAACTTAGGAAGAAAAAAATATGGTAAATTATATGGTACAACCGGTTGTATCTATAGCATGGTACAGCCGGGTATTTTTGTAATAAAAAGGAAGTTTAAGCCTTCAAATCCCAAACTTTTACTCTTCGCCGGTGTCTTCTTGCTCGGATTAGCTGCCGCCATCAATAATGCATCGTTGTTGTTCTCATCGACGGCCATCAATCTGTTTACCTTCTTCGAGGGATTAAACTCATTTCTCCACAAGTTTAGAGGCAAAGAATCGAGAAACATGGCTGCTGCCTCAACTGTCATCCACAATCTCTTCAGACTCCATTATCACTGTCCACCGTCAGTGGCGGAGCCAGAAATATGGTCCAGGGGGGTCGAGAATCAACTTTATACAAAATGAAAACGATGGATCGTTTCCAAACAATGTCCGAGTTGAATATTTTATATGTAGTTTAGATAAATAGGCACTCGTAACAATAAAAGAGACTGTTTTTGCTCTATTTTTGAGTCATGTCACGTAAGTAATGAGTTAATTATATGTTATTTTTAAAAATTGGGGAAAAAAATCAATATTACTCATCAAATTTTGCTGATTTTACGTTTAGATAGTGCTGATTTTGCAGAAGTCATAACTTTTTACTCGTAATGAGTTACGGGGGCCATAATATATCAAATCGAAGATATTTCAGAGCTCTATGCTCTTAAACTTTCAGCGGGGTCGACTGACCCCCCTGACCCCCCCTTGGCTCCGCCCCTGTCCACCGTCCAAATTAAATTCTGTTTCGCAAGCCATCTAGCATCCTTTTTGCAATCACATGATGTCTTTGTCCAATTCGGAGCAAACTAATTAAGTTGAAGTTGTCTTTGTCATCAAGCATTTATAAACATTGTGTGTAGTATTAAAACTGAAATTCATATCCAGCGGGATTTACAAATGTGAATTTAAGAGAGGCCATGATCAAGAATTCGGATTTGCAGTATGTTATTAACCGGTGATGGATATGTCGATTGCCGAAATAACCTAATTGATGAGCATAGTGGTCTTTGCGAGGAACACCACCCGAGCAGCATTGCCAATCATGCAGGTGAAGAAGGTAAGTACATCTAATCTAGTCCTGCTTTTAGAGTGTATCCAACAGTTGTTTGACTTTGTGTTACTGTTATGTTGTAGGTTTAGACAAATCTTGTGTAACAGTCACCTAAAAAACATTAATGTATTAAGGATATTCATTAATTAATTTCCATTTCATTAATCTTATTTATTTAACATTATTAACTTGATGTAAATCTGACTATATGTCCTCAAATATATCCATAACTAATTGTAGATTTAGCTACACTTCAAATTTACTCCTTGTAGTCCAAACCAGGGTGTAATTCTTACACATCATCAATCGATGAGAATATCTTTTATTTACATGGTAAAAAGTAATTCTACTTCTATTTTTTTCAAATCAATGAGCCATCTAATTTTCCCATCAAGCTGCAAAAATTTTCCTATATTGATTTAAGCCTACCAATTTCCAGTTCCCCAGTTACTCAATATTTATACCCACGTAGACAGAAAGAGAAACTACACGGTACTCAATAATTTACCATACCAAGAGTTGCCGAGAAAACATATTGAACTCCTCATGGATAAAATATAATGCGATTATAACTCATGAAACTAGGAAGGGAAAAGGGACAAAAATGACACTGACTTTTAATGAATCTCGGATCGGACACTCAGATTGTTAGTAGACCAAATAAACACTAAGACCATATGGAGTGGTGCAAGAGTCCAAATGTCAAAAATGGACTCCGTCCATATGAAAACAGTGTTTTGACTCCTATTTCTCTACATTCCAGCACCGTCAATAAAATACACTTTGCACATTTTTTTACATATCACTTTAGTAAAACATTAATTAAATTATCATAAGTAATGCTTTCCTTTTAATTTTCTCTTATTAATTATAAAATAAAAAAGACACATTTCAATGTAAAAAAATAAATATCATTAATATTTTTTTCCGTTCAAACAATTTAAAAATCATCACATTCTATCAAATTGTTTTTGTTTAAATCCAACCATTGTGGGTGCTTAGAGCATCTACAATGGGGTAGTGGATTGGAATAAAGTCGATCCTACGTGGCATAGGAGAGAGATAAAGATAAGATGATTATTTTAATTTAATATAGAGAAAGTGGTGTATATGAAAAAATGAAAAGGAAGAGAAAGATAGGAGTAAATTGTAAACAATATCTATGACAATGTCCACAAATAGACATTACACAAAAATCGAGAAGCAAAAGTGGATGAAAAGTGGGTTAGAAGTGATATAAAAATGAAAATGAAAATAAATAAAGAGATATGTAGGTCCTACACATAAAATTTGTGAGATAAAAAATGAGACCCAATTGTAAGTGTGTAAGAGAATAGACATCCCCATTGGAGATGCTCTTAGTGACACCATCACGACATCGTTGACATCCGCCCTCTTTCCTCTTTTCTATTTCTTTTTCAATTTTTTTAGGCTGTCCAAATTCCTCCAAATATAACCTCTTCACTCTCCAAACCCACTTTTAATACCCTCCCCAATCAACCAATGCATGAAATTAGAAGTCCAAAATTGTCACTTTTAATATTTTGGACTCCTAATACCTCATCGCTCCAAATAATCTAATTCTAACATATATGTTGATTATTAACCACCCACTCACGCTTCAGTTAAACTGACATCTCCCTTCTTCCATTAGAGACACACAACCCCAATTTTTAACCCAAAGTCTACCGAGTCTCCGACTCCCAAAGTCTGGATCGCCAACGACATTGTTTCCCAATGCTAAAACCAGAGGGGCCGAGATCTCGCAAGATTGGACGCCTATAACTTTGATCAATTTCAGCAATTACAATGCTGACACTATCTCCGGTGAAAACAAGTTCACTGTTGTCGGGTGCGACGACGATGGTACCCTGGCCAGAGACAACCTCGCAAAGATGAAGAGGTTCACACACGTCTGCTCCGCCTCTTGCGACGAGCCAGAGGATGTGATTGGTGGAAGCTGTGAAGGTACCAACGGTTGCTGCGAATACACGATTCCGAAGGGAGCCAAGTATTATAGCATAGTTACTTTGAAATCCCCGTCCAACTATACTCTCAATTTAGCTAAGCAATTCAAAAGATGGAAAGCTCACCCAGACCCAGTAGAGACATTGAGCTTAGCTAAAATCTTGAAAGGTTCCAAATTAAAACTTTCACCCAAATCTTGAACAAGCTATCAAACTTTCTTTTGGTGAAATTGGAGTAATTCTTTTTCTTTCTTTCTCCAGTAAGAGAAAGAATGACCTATGGTTAAAAATTGGGGTTGTGTGTTTTTAATGGAAGAAGGAGACGTCAGTTTAATGGAAAAAGCGCTCAAATGAGGTTCAAACAAAAAAATATTTTTCATGGAACCAACGATGCCCACGCACGGATCATCACAAGGCTGGATTAAATGTAAGCAGGGAAAAAGTAACAGATGGACTATGAGGAATGAAGCCCACTGTGTCGCAAAGACCTGTTTTTTGTTTGAATTTCTGCCCTTAAAACGACACATCCGGCAACCAAAAGATACCGGACATTAGATACCACGGGCAATACAAACTGTCTAACTGTTGCAGTTTTGCACTTCCCAAAACTAGTTGAGGTATTCTATAACGCTTTCCTAAAACACAATCTCAGTCGAAAGATGGTGAAAATGAGTATTAATCACTGTAAAATCAGTAATTTCGGGTAGATTTTCATCATCGATTGCATTTAAGAAACAATTTTGTGAGGTGCACATAACAAAATCGAATACACGATAGTTAGGTAAAACGTGTTTTCAAATATAAAAAAGGAGATCAGATGGTAGTGCATGTTTTGATTCATCATCAATAATAACAGAATAGATGGGTTTGAATCATCACGCCTCCTTGAATACATCTAAGCTTTTCGAGATCCAAAAGACAAGAAAACTATCGTCGCTTCTTTTAATCGGACCTTGAACCCAAATTCGTAAGATTGAAAACAATGATATTGCAAAAAAAATGGCTGTAAAACAGGGATGAGATGGTTGATTTTATATCATCATCCAATACTACACGCTATTTATTAACAGTACAATTCCATCACAAAACACTAAAAAGAATCAGAAAAAACGATGGCAATCAAACGCCAAAGGAATCAGAATGTAAGTCGATCACCACGTCGCATCTCACAGATAAGAGCGCCTAAGACTGGGGCGACAATCATTGTCATCATTTCCCTTCCAAAACAATCGCAAACCAAATAAATCCCAAAATCGGCGGTTAACACGACTGCAAAACATAAAAGCCTATAATAAAGCAACCAGCAAAGAAAAAGGTTTTTGAAACTGAAGGTAGACGATAGAACGTAATGTAGATCCGGAACCATGACGAAGCATTTATATAGGATTAGAATGAGGGTTTCAGCTAGGGTTTTGCACCTCCTTGACCACTATGCGATTTGTCGAGTTATCAATGGTATATTCGTGATTTTTTTAGAGGGTGTGGTCTAATAAGAATTTCTTCTTTTTAAGATATGAGTACTCGTCTATAAATTAATACTCCCTCCGTTCCAAAATTAACTTCTCACTTTCCTTTTCGGGCAGTCCCAAAATTAACTTCACACTTCAAAACTTTCCTTATTTGACAAATAATCTACATCAAAAAAGTGTCAAACAATGTCCAAACAGTGTCAAACAGTGTTTAAACAGTGCAAAACAGTGCACTCCACAGTGAAGTCAAACTGTGAACTTAATTACGGGACGGAGGGAGTAGAAATTATTCTAAATAGGAGCAAAAATGTTTTGAAATTCCAAAATATGAGTATCATGTTTTTTATTACCTGAATAGGAGTAATCTGCCAAGTTTGAAAAAAAATGTCATGTTTAAAGCTCTAGCAATGTCAAACTTGGCAGAAATTTACTCCTATTCGAGGAATAAAAAACATGATAGTCCTATTTTGTAATTTCAAAACTATTTTACTCCTATTTAGGAATTCTCTCATAAATTAATCTTCACTTTTCATACATTAAAATCCCGAACATTTTTACAATAGTTTTACAATAATCACAAAAAAGATCCGTTTGAATTTTGATTTATTGCACAAAGGATCCAAATGCATCCTAACCTAACCAATGATATAAAAAGTTGTGAATAAAAGTTTTCACTATAGTAAAAATTGAAATCAACTAATCGCGGACGGAGGCTCCTAGTTGGCCTAGGGTTTGGGTTGCGATAGATTTGCTCGCAGGATTAGTTTGAAAAGCTTAACGGACGGCGGAAGTCTCGGTGGAGGCAGGGATCAACCAGGTAGTCAAGGCGGTCGTTCGAGTGCAGGGCTTCGGCGGTGAGGGGTGATGCTGCAATTGAGTAGGTGGAATCCGCAAGCGACAGTTCGTGTTCATCGAACGATGGCAATTATGGTTAGCGGAAAAGCCTTGTTTGCAGTGAGTAGCAGATTGATGACAGGCTACGGGTTTGATGAAGGCCAGAGTTCGGTTGACAATGAAGAATCAACCACAGCGGTCCTGATAGCCCCCCCCCCCCCCCCCCCCCCCCCGAACCACCGACATGGAATGAACGAGGTGCTAGGATTCAAGAAAGTTACCCTTTTAGTTACTGTTATTTTCAATTCAGTGTTAGTTGTTTCTATGTCGTGTGTAATTTTAGCTTTCAGTATTGCTTTTTTATTTTTCTAGTCCGGTCTGGGAAAGACGTTTTTTTTTGTGTGAGAATGAGTGGAAGCAATCAGGTTAATCTTATCGATAATAGCTTCGAATCTCTCGTATGTTTAGCGATTAGTCTCGCTCAGTATTGGATGATCTATTCTATGTCTAATCAGAGAGTGAGAGGGGTCTATAAGCTATACGGTGTTTACAGAGATCAGATGTCATGGGTAGAGAGTAAGTATGATGTTTGGATGTTGGTTTGGCAGGATGTTTGAGTGTTTGTTTTTATGAATTTAATATAAGCATTTTCCTTTCAAAAAAAGTTTTCATTATAAAAAGTTTTTATTTTAATATGGGTTTTCAATAGAACTCTCACCTTTTATGCGTAAACTTTTTGTATTCATAAAACCTTTATGAATGAATTTAGTTGATTTATATAATCTTACTAGTCTTTTACCCGTGCGTTGCACGGGGTGACGAATTAACAAAATGTCTAAGAAGTGACCAATAGTTCCAAGTCTTATTGAAGTGTACATTAATTATTTACATTGTTAACTTTATTTCTAAGGCTTTTTGCATATATGAATTTCTACTCTTGTCGATCTGAAAACCTCCTACAATTGTAATGTCATATTTTTGAAGCTTTATATATAAGATATTGGTGTCATGAAAGCTCGTAAAAACTTATGAATTTTAATATGCAGTATATTTTTTTGTAAAAATTGGAATACAAATGAAAAAGTTACCACACTAAGGAAAAATGAGATAGTTATTTTATACACGGCCCCCACCTTTTTCTTATTCTTTGTTCATTCGGAAGAGGGTTTTCCAAATAGTTTCTGTGTGTTCTAAATACTATTTCATTCGGTTACAACATTCCGAAATCCTGTATCTTCATATCCTAAACCATAATCCATGTTTTGCCATCAAAATTCAAAACCCCCGTATGTTTAGAATTTACTCCATTTCTATCCTTAGTTTTTTGGCATATTAAGAATATCTGTAAAACGTTTTAGGCAACAGATCCCTAGGGAAATGTGCTTTAATGAGAGCCCATTTTTCTTGATCTTTGTGTTCTTTATAAATCTTAATCGGAACGCATGTCCTACCAACTCTTTCGCCCGTACGTTGCACGCGATAACAAATTACGAAATTACCCAAATAAAAATGTTATTTTTTAAACAATAAAAGTATATTCTAGATACATGATATCTGCAAAAATTATATCCAACATAAATATAAATGATAAAGGTGAGATATTGAGCAAAATTTGATCCCATAACTCCTAAAAATGTATGGGAAAGTAATAATTGTAAAAGCTAACACCCAAATAAATATATTTGATTAAAGTGAGATTTCGAGCAACTAAATACAACATAAAGTAATGACCATTTTTCAAAGGTTATTAGCAACTAAATCAACAACATGCAATATTAGTCACTGAACATACCAACCAAAGGATTCTAAGTGCTTACTAATTCTGAAATGACATTTATAAGTTACTTGGATTTTGGTAATGGATACAAAGTTAGGTTTTGGTAGTATCATTAAAAAACCTCATGTTTTCCTAACATTTGATTTAGGGTGTTTTTAGTTGAGCTGAAATTTTCTAGTTTCATTGGGTCTAATCTAGTCTAGTAAATGTTCTCTTTGTGTATTTTAGAACTGTCGAACTCTGGTCGGGTATGATCTGATTTTAACTGATTTGGGGTAAAATAAATCTAAGTAACAAATTTACAAATTTCCTTATTGGCTAAGCAAAACATATGAAGAAGAACCTTCACATTTGTTAACGTAAATGTGTATTGCCTTGAATTTGGTGAAGTTGAAAGTATATAGAAAACTTAATAAAGGTTAAACATCACTCGATTCTCTTATGGCTTTGTTTTAAGCACTCTCTCTTGGACTTAAACACTGCACCTTTTCTATAATTTGCAACTACACATTCACAAATTTTACCTATTTAGGAACTCTTAAGAGTTTAATTAAAGAAGCTCTAACAAATTAAAAGACACAATCTCATCACAATGAATTGACCGTACAAATCGAGTGAATACATGAAATCAATTGACATGTTATAGAAAGGGGGAAACAGTGAAAAAACATTAAATTAAACTTTCTGTCTTTAATAGCATTAAAAACTAACAATTGGATATTCTGAATCTTGTATGGATATGAAACTTTCTGTGTGCAGAGTGATATGTAAAAACAAATTGAGATGTGGAGTAAAGGAGATGGAGCAAAAAAAATTATGGCGTGGGAAGAAGGGTGAGTAAAGGAAGAAGAACCCTTGCTAATGTTTTACCACGCTCAAGCTAAAGGCCTTTTCCTCTTTACAAAAAAACATTGATGCCAAAGCTCTAGCTTTGGTGCGAAACCAGGGATGGCCATGAGACTGATAAGAAAAAACTAAAAAGGACAGTGTCGCACTAATTCCAGTAAAGATCTCAAAAAACAAACATATGTGATACACATTACTATTCAAAGTAGTAAACAAAATAAAGTATATACCCTGCATATTATGGTAACCAAGAATTAAAAAAGAAAGTAAAACTTAATCACATTTCTGGTAGATCTCCTCATCTCCCTCATATCATCTCCACTGCAAATGAAACAAAAAATATAACAATGAAACATGAATTGAACCTCAAGTAATTTTGGAAAAAAGATCCAGGGAATTAAATTAAAAAAAGAAAGTGGGCTTGTCTTCACAATGCTAAAAGTTTCATACCAGGTAGGCAGGTATGACTTTCACTTAAAACAAAGTCTAGCTCTTCCCTACCCCACACAAACACCCTTTCACCAAAATGTATGTAACTGGTATCAAAACTACTGCAAATGCCAAAAAGAAAAAAGTGCTCACCAAGGGATCCCCTCCTTTTAAACTCACAACGCTGGCCCCAACTTCAGCAAAACTAAGAAGCAACTCATGAATTTCTACCTGCAAAACCTCAAATGTTGAGTCATAGCTTACTGCTTACTGTGACCGCTCTTGTTTGCACATATATCAGTTCCACCCGATTCTGAAATTCATTATATTCAATCAAGAAGAACAACAAAAGTAGTTCATAGAGCTAACATGTGTTATGTTGTGGTAACCGACAGTTTTGCTAACATAGAGAAGCCTGACATGGGGACCCACCAAGTTGAGCACATCATTGAAAACGAATCTATCAAATGAAAATGGCTATTTTACTTTTTCAAGAAAACATCAACTGAGCAAGTATAACTGCCAAAGAGATTATTTTTTTTTTAATTCTAATTCAAAGTCTTTAGAGATTCAGTAAATCATTTATTGTACGGTTTCAGAACTTAAAATTGAAGAAAATATTAACCAAAGTCTTCAGAGATTCAGTAAATCATTTATTGTACGATTTCAGAACTTAAAATAGGCTAAGCCTATTCTTCAAAGTTTCTCAAAAAAAAAAACTGCAGGCCCTATTATTTGAGTTATTATTTCCCAAAGTTTGTCAAAAAAAGCAGGATGTCAGTATATTAGTTTGTCATAGAAAGAAAACAACAGGATGGTTTATTAGGTAGGGTATTCTCATAGTTGAAGAAAAAAAATAACCATGTTACAGAGTCATTAATATAATAACCAAAATACCAAATTACAAAGTAAGAATACGTTTCTGAATCGCACTTATATTGACATTAGAACGATGATTAGCCATAATCAAATTATTTGAAAATAATGATTAGCCACAAACTTCCTATTTGAAATATGTTAAGAAACCCAGGGCCCCTGTATTTTAGCACGAAGTTTAAAGCAAAATATCTGAAAAGCTTGC